ATCCAGCTTAGATGATATTTAGAGCCGAGGAGTAGTTCAGCTGCTCAATAAATCCCTAGGACGCACGCCGCCTTTGGACACAAGTTGCATCGATCGATTGTTGACTCATTGCTCTACCACTTGTAACAACGAGAACATCAATAGTTACGAACAGCAACGCAAGATAAATAAATCCTTCTCGAGCTCCTCCAACCCGAGGCTTGTGACCATAAACTCAAATCACACTCTTTCAGATTGAGACCATCGTATCGATGTCCTTATAACGAACTTTTCCTTTCACTCTTTCAGGACCAAAGGTCCAACCACTATTCACGATTATTTCGATTGCTTTCATTTGTCCGACAAATTTTCACATACCCTGGATGAGCCTCTGACCTGTTGACGACCTGGAGTTCTTTGCTTTCTTTTCCCCATAACCGGCATCTTGTATATCGCTTCCTACTATCTCGACTTACCCAACTCTTCTTGGATTGGCAACATTTACTTTATCAACTACTACTACCTTCCTCGCTCCTGGCAGCTCTAGCTCTGTACAAGCATTCAAAAAGTTTCTCATCGATTTCTTCAAGAAGCATTCCGATACCCATTTTTCTCCCTTTCCAAATAGACATCAGGTAAGGGGGGAAAACAATTATACAGCTTGTACGATCATTCTGGTTACATCTAGTTTACTTCATCTCACCTCGATTATTTGTCTCACGTCGAGACAACGGTCATGGAATGCCTGAGAAACAAGTTTCACAATGGCGTTTTGCTCGACGGGAGATTTCAAACCGTCTCTCCTCTTAATCATGGATCTTTTGGAATGGTCTTCATGGCAAAGGACTTGGAAACCAATGAGCTCGTTGCCATCAAGTGCTTGACTAAGAAGGCAGCTGCCGACGGAGACGGGATCGAATTTGCGGTCGACGAGAACTCCGAGGAGCTACTTTCCCACCGCCTACTAGGTGCCCATCCCAACATCGTTAACCTAATCCACTCGTTCGAGACCGACTCCCACGTGTACCTTGTCCTCGAATACTGCTCGCGTGGTGATCTCTACGAGGCCATTCGCACTGGACTTGGCCCCCTGGAGACGGAACACGTCCGCCAGTTCATGATCGAACTGGTTGACGCTGTTTCGTACATGCACTCGAAAGGGATCTACCACCGAGACATCAAGCCCGAGAACATCTTCCTCACCGAGTCGGGTTCGATGAAGCTTGGCGATTTTGGATTGGCTACCACGGACCGATGGAGCTACGAGAATACGGTCGGGAGCGATAGATACATGTCGCCTGAGCAATATGATTCGGCCGGAGCCGGATACTCGCCGGCCCAGGCTGACATCTGGGCGATCGGTATCTGCCTTTTAAACATTCTCTTTTCTCGAAACCCCTTCAGTACCCCAACCGAGGCTGATCCCCTGTTTTTGGATTTCTCGCGTGACAAGCAATCTCTTTTCGATGTCTTCCCTACCATGTCCCAGGATACGTACGAAGTCATCGTCCAGTGCATGAATCTAGATCCTAGGAAGCGATCCCTAGTCGGTGCTAAGAGCGCCCTCCGTCGCGTTGTTAGCTTCACTACCCTCGAGGAGGCCCTGGATGACTTCTGCACGACTGAGCGTTCGACTGTCGCCACCGCCAACCGCGAGCCGCTCCGGACTCCTTCGATCCAGAGCCCCCAGCTAGACCAAGGCGTCTTCCCGTGGGCCAAAGCCCTGCACGCAACCCAGCCTCAGGCTATCCGTCAACTCAGTGCTATCCCCGACGATGAAAGTTACACGGAGGATCTGTTCTCCAAGTCCGCGGATACCACTGACTGGATGTCCGGTTCTGCTCTAACGCCTTCGATCTCGTCTGTCCTGACTTCCAACCTCGCGGCATCTATGAACTCGCTCAACGTGTCGCGACCTATGGATATGCCCGTCCGCACTGCTGCCAGGGCGTCTCCAATGACTGGCTCGTTGCCGATTACCATGTCGAGGCCCAGACCTACTCTTAGTGCCATGTCGATGGTGTTTGGTCGCCAGAAGGATGCCGTGTCTAAGAGCTGGAGCGACATGTGGGATGAGGATGTAGAGGAGGACGAAGAGGAGCGCGCCCGTCAACTACAAGCGCTCAAGGAGCTTAACTCTAGGACCTGGAGTCAGGAGAGCAAGGAGGCTACTAGGACTCCGCGGCAGGATCAGGTATCCTTGCACCAGGCGCCAGCGTCTGATAATGAGAAGCCAGAGGCTTCGTCTGTGAACGATACCATTTCAAATGACATTGATGGGGACCTAGTTGCGGATGGATTTTTCTTTCACGAGCCTGTTGCTGTTGTACAGCCTGAGCATTTCCCCGTTCGGTACTCGCCACCGTCGAAGCGCAGCGACGTTGACAAGTGGGCGGTCCTAGGGGAACGCCGCCGGGCATACGCAGGAGCACCGGAACCCAAGTCGCCGGATTTTTCAACGAAATCCCGACGCCAGTTCGGTATCGGATTTAATACTTTACCAGGAGGAGGAATAGGAATTTGGGACCAAGCCAATCAGCAAAACCACAAATGGAATCGAGATCATCGCTCTGCATCACGCGAATGCCCATGGAACAAGGGTCGAGACTGGAACTGGCGTAAGGAGAGACGCCACGATTTCGGTGACGTCGAGTGGGTTGGCCACTGGCAGGAGGCTCATTAGAGCATTTTTCTTCTTTTTAAACTCCTAGCCGGTGTCGCCACTTGTAGTTGTGCTCATCTTTCCACCACCACACGGGATGTTTTCTTGTCTGACTCGGGATGTCGCCCTGCTTGCTGCTTTCTTTAGTTGTATTCTCTGCCCACCATGTGTTATTCTTAATAATTAAGTTTGGTGGTCGCCTCGGAGCAGAGGAGAGGAGGAGGTTGAAAAGGATGACGGCTTATGCTCTTCCCTTCCCAATAGACAAGGCACGGGAGGGGGAGGACGAGAAAAAAAATATGTTGGCTTTGTTCTTCTCTTGGTTCTTGGTTGGGATCATGGAATCAATCATGATTATCTATCGCAGTTTGGCAAAACAAAAATTCATGTTCGGCAGCAGCAAGCAAGCAACGACTTAGACATACGCACTCCCCTATTCACGCAGCAGAGCTTCCCGGTGGATTGATCTAGCGTCAACTCGCTCTCTAGGTATTAGATATCTCCAGATTATTGAAGAATACCAGAAGTTACCCACTCAATTATTTGGCTCGCTTGGTATTGGTGATTTGTCTTGATGACTAGGTGTGATACTTCGTCCTCGGGTACCTGGGGACGTTGGAAGGTTTGTACGATTAGTGTTAGTATTAACTAGTATATATTGTTGTAATAGTAATAGATGTACGTATATAGCTTCGCAAATTATTGACTTTGTAGGTGACTTGTCTTCTAATGTGTTGTCTTCTAATGTGTTGTCTTCTAATGTGTTGTCTTCTAATGTGTTGTCTTCTAATGTGTTGTCTTCTAATGTGTTGTCTTCTAATGTGTTTACAATTACGCTGAGGCGTTACTGTTTACTGTCACGTCTGTATTCTAATTTGGTGTCTACTAGAGCGATAAATCGTTTCTAACGTATGTTTATGAAAAGGGTTTTGCTAGTTATACTGATCTGTCATGGTAGGCAGTGTAGTGTTCAGTTAGACTAGTTCACGGAATTAGAGAATGTAGGTGAGGCATATTAGTATTAAACATCGAAGTCCTAAACACAGTCATCAGCGCCGTAAACCGGCAAGATACCTACCTAGGTAAGCAACCCGGTTAGTTGTCTCAGCGCTTCTCGGGAACATTGCATAGGTACCTAGGTAAGGCTTGTATGTTTGTTCTAGAAACACGCAGGTTATGTAGGTTAGTGCACGTATTGATTAACTTGACTTAACTTACACAGATAATCCCGGCCGAGCTTCCCTTGGATACCCATGCCGCACAAGTTAGTTGGCAGGATTTCCCCGGCGGGTCTTCTGTTTATGACGGCGGCGGCTATATATAGGTAGGTTAGGTAGGTTAGGTAGGTACATGTCGCGATGGCTTGGCGGTGACGAATTTAGCGTCTAGATCCATTCCTGCGGCGCGGGTATCCGAGACGGCGGGACGCTGGGGAGATGGCTTGTTCGGGAAGCTGGTGGGTTAGGAATGGTCTGGGCTGCTTATGTTGGGTTTGTATGTTGGGTGGGACTTGGAGATGGGATGGGATGGGATGGTGTCAGTGACCTGAAACGTCCTGGAAGGATGGGATTTGGTTCGAGTCTGGGCTTGGGAATACGAGGGTTGGGAATGATTGTGTTGATTATTAAGTATTTGTGAGATCCTGGTGCTTGTTGTTGTTGTTGTTGTTGTTGTTGTTGCTGCTGCTAGACTCTAGTCGGTCTAAATGTCTTATTGACTGAATTAGGAAGGACTTGAGTCCGATAGTTCATGTTATTTATTAGTTTACGAATTGAATTTGCATCGCTTTAGAAGAAAAGGGGAGATAAATAACCTGTCCCGAAGAGTATTATCACAGCTTTTACTCGTGTTCATAAACTTTATCATACTTATGAATATTTAACAGTATAAATATCGCCTCCTTCTACCTTCTTTGGGTATTAGAGCTTGATTACAAGGTTGCCCTGATGAAGAACCTTGAATTATCGTCATGCCCCCCTTTAATACTGTAGGTAGACTCTTGTCTATATACATGTACCTTGACTTTAGTCTCTACCTATGTAGTAGACCTTGGAAGGTAAGAATTAATAAACGACTGCCCTAGATATGATAACATGTACTGCCCCTGCTTTGCAAGACTCTAGAAGGTCTAAATAAGCCATAACCATGACACTGGGAAGCTTCAGTCTAAGTGATAGCTATTTGGATCTCACTATCGCGCCTCCTCGCTCATCAGAGCAAGCAGCTACGGTATCTCATCTTGTCCACTTAGAATATATCGTTATGCATCGTGCCCAATTCTTCCATCCCTTAAGTTCACAAGTAGATCATCTAGCCAGGCGTCCTCTTTGAATCAACCAGTTCAACTTAACTATCTACATTCTCTTGCCGGCTAAGAACAAAACTAAATGAGTGACATCCTCAAATATACCAATCTTACCACTACTCTTATCGTGCAAGCAACCAAAAAAATAATAATCAAAGTTAGAAATACAACTCACCCGGTATTGTCATAATACTACCAATATGGATCACGACCATGCAATCACCATCGAGCTCGGGAAGCCAGAGGAGTACGACCAATCTACCGAGGACATCACGCCGAGCCCAACACCACGGCCGGCCTCTGATCAAAGAAACCAGAGACCTCTGTACGCAGCTTCGACCAAGTCCTGCTTCTTCTGCCGCAACACGCTCCTGCTAAGCTACTTCAACTGCTGCGCCGTATGTCTCGGCACCATCGAGCGTAGCCAGAGCCGTAATAAGACCAACGATGACAACAATAACAGCAACAACAACAGCAACGAAAGACTAACATCAGACTCCCTACCCCTGCCTACTACGCAGCCGCGGGAACCTTCAGCATCGCCAACAACAACACCACCCCCCTATTCCTCCTCCTCCTCCTCCTCATCCTCTTCCACTACCGAAAACAACTACAACTCCCCCCCCGCCAAACCCCCCCACTGCCCCAGCCCCTACTGCCGATACACGCACGCCCGGCCGCTGATGCTGCTCTTCGCGCTCGGCGAAGCGGTGCCGTCGCTCGGGGGGCTAGCGCTCCTCAACGCGGCGCTGTACCGGCACGACTGGGCGCAGTTCCGGTTCGCGGGCATGCTGGCGCTGCAGTGGTGGCAGATCTTCGTGCTGCCGCGGCAGTGGGCGCGCGGGCGCTCCGTCGTCGCCGGGCAGCTCGTCGCGTGCCTGTTCATGGTGTGGTTTTACGTCGACGGCAGCCGGAGCTGGAGGTGGTGGGAGCCGCTTGCTGTTAGCACTGTGCTGTTGAAGATTGTGTTTCCTTGGTAGGGGGGGGGGGGGGGGGGGGGGTGGGATTGTGGGGGTTTTGTTGTTGGGAGGGAATAGGGAGAGAGAGGGAAGAGGGCAGAGGGCAGAGGGCAGAAAGGGGTGTTATGGGTGAGTAGCTGAGGGCTGGCTGTTCGTTCTTTGGGCTTGGTAGACTTACGGTACGCACTTATACGGTGTTGGGTGTTTGCTTAAGGGGCTGCGTACTAGTAACTGTATTCTTTTCAGACGAAGACATGGATTAGAAAATCATGATTCTATCACTAGTCCCTGGGATGTCGTGTGGTCTTGGCTGTTCATGGAGTGTTATGCATTACTATGAACGTGGTTTCATTATGGTACTGCGTAAATATCGTTGCTCATACTATATGCAAGCTGAGTTGTAATTTAAAGAAACGAATACCCTCAGCGCGCATCATATGCCTTGGCGAGTAGTTCTCGTGAATCAATCAGGAACTTGTCATCTTCATCAACTATAGTTAATAATATCGCAATCACGCGCTCGAGTATCTTAATTGCATCCTCAATCTTGCCGTATTCAATATATGCATCTGCTAGGTTTCGCTCTGGTTGTAGTTTAGAGATGTCATCTTTAGCCAATGTTGCTTTTTGAATAGCGACAACATGCTCAAGCAGGTTAATTCCTTCTTCAAGCTGTCTATTCTTCAGGTAGGCGACTGCTAAGTTATTCTCCAAGGTGAGTAACTGTTTGTCGTCCTCTGCCCACATCTTCTTTTGAACAGTTCTGACATGCTCATATAACCTGATGGCTTCTTTAGCTCGGTTAGTCTTACAGTATGTGTCGGCACACCATAGTTGTGAATCAAGGTAAAAAAGATCGTCTTCCGCCAAGTTTTTCTTCATAATAGATATAATGCGCTCCAAAATGCTGATCGTTTCCTCAAACTGGCCAATTTCATAATATGTCGTTGCCAGCGCGTGCTCTGTTGTCAGTACGTTGACGTGCTCCTTGCCCAAAACTTCTCTCAATATGGGTATAATACGCTCAAACATCTTAATCGCATCCTCTGATTGGCCATTGGCATTCGATGCCAATGCTAGCTGATGTGTTGCTGTTAATCGATCGGGGTGATCTTCTGGTAACGTCTCATAGATGACCGCAGTACGCTCATACATCCTGATCGCCCTCTCAACCTGCTTATCGTTAATGTATGCGCCTGCCAACGTGAATTGCATTGCCACTTGAATGGGGCTCTCATCTTCAACGACCACCATGGGTTCCAATAACTCAATCGCGCGCTGATGCTGTCCTATTTGAGAATATGCATTTGCCAAATAGTACTCTAATGGGTACTGTAGGATATCGTCTTGAAAGTTGTGCTCTTTTCTCCACGCAACGGCTTTGCTTAATACTTTGATTGCTTCTCTAAATCGTCTGATGTGTTCGAGATACGCTCCAACGTTGCAAGATAATTCATATATCTCCCTCATTTGGCAATCTCTACTTTCTTCAAGCAAGCGTAAAGCATGTGATATATATTCTCTCCATACTTTATGTGCTATTCGGCATCGGCAGCATCCAAATAACGGAACCGACGAAAGATAGGTAATCGCGTCGGTTCTTATCCGTTTTAGGCCGTGGTCCTGCAGCCATGCTCGTATCGCTATATGTACCAGCCTGTGCATATCAAACATAGAACCATCCTCTCGTCGAGTTATAAATGCGTATCCTAGAAGTGTACCAATCGCATGTTCGAAGTCCACCTCCAACTGCTGGGCAGGTAAAAGCGATTGTGGGATAGCTTTTGGATCGAGGCAAGCCATATACGAGAACATCTCTGCTGCGATGCGATCGCACTTTCGAATTTGTTCAAAAGACACAGTCCACGTCTTCAGAACCGCCTTGGTCATATCCAGAGTATTATCATAGAAATCTCGTTCCATTAGCTTAATAGCGTTGCTCTCTTCACCCTGTAATAGGCCAAGGTACTTCTCGACTGACATCGTATTCTTGTTCATATATGAAGCGGCCTGTACGATGGCAAGGGGAAGATACGTAAGTTCCTTAACCAGTTCCTCGATTATCGTTTCGTTTTGGTCGGGATGATTTATGCTATGTGTTTTGAAGAGATTTGTTGCCTCTTCGGGATTCATTCCTCCGAGCTCGACCATATTGTTTATCGCTACGTCCACGGCTACTTCTTTTAACCGCGTAGTGAAGAGGGTTAAGCCACGGCTGTTTTGAGGTAGGTATTTGATCATACCAGTTGAATCGTTCGATTCAAATGTTGCTTCGTGATCGTCCGCATTATCAACGATCAGAAGCCACTTCCCGGCATTCTCGGAGCTGAGATGTTGCTTTACCAGCATTTTCTGGTCCCCTTCGCCGGATATCCGAAGCAACTTAGCCAAGCCCGCATATGATTGCTCAAAAGTTGCTTGACTCTGTGCTAGCACCCAGAAGACAGAATACTCAGGCTCGCGGTCTCGCAACCGGTACGCAAACTCTAGGGCCACTTGGGTTTTCCCGGCACCCCCTAGGCCAAAAACTGCTAATCTCCTGCGTTTCTTGACGAAAAAGTGGTTTTCGATCTCTTTTAGAATTTGGTCTCGACCGCCAAAATGTTCATTTCTAAGGTGCGGAACATGAAAAAGGGGTTTGCTAGCGATACTTGGAGGGACACCTTGAAGAATGTCAACAACTGTAAAATTCAACTGAGCATATTGCTAAAAATGTACTAACTCCTTTGAAACCCCTCGGCGATGAATAGTTGGATAACCCCGGATATACTCTCATACTGTTGGTCCGTCCTGTTGCTGCACCTTGCCATCTGCATATGGTCTGCATCAATTGTCTCAACTGTTTCTTGCATTTCCGGTAAGCCGACTTTGGAAGAAAAATCGTCTACCACCTAAAAATTGGGCGGATTGTCAGTTGATACTTTCGATAGTTAGTTTATAATTAACTAAGTAAGATATACCTTGCCCTCAAGTCCTTTCACGCCTGTTATGCCTCTTGCTTCCTGGAATGAGTGAATCATAATACCCTTTTCGCCAACCCTGTTTATGAACTGGGCGTGAATATTGTCGAGGACTTCGCTATTAACTTGTAGGTTCCTGACGATTGGCTTGTTAAAGTCTTGCAGGGCAAATGCGGCTAAGTTCGATGCGATAGATCCCCATCCTGCCATCGAACTACCTCTGTGAGGCGTCCCAAGGAAAATAATCAGCTTTGTCCGTGAAGAGCAGAAATTTGATCTGCATATTGCCTAGTTTTATTAGCACTAATCTTTACTTCGCGTTTATTTTTTTTTTTGGGCTATACGTCTTACATCTTTCACGATGATTCCGCCGAGGCTGTGGGCAATGAATATGATCGGCTCGTTGAATCCCTGGGATTTTTAGCCGAGTAAAATCAACTGAAGTTAGGGGAGGGGGTATTAGGTTACCTTGCCCTTTAAAATGCGCTCAGTCCGAACAGTGAAATCTCTGCCGTGTTGCGATATGCTGTTCTGGTTATTCGCTTGGAACATCCCATTTATGACATTGGCATTGTATCCATATGTCCATACTCTCGCTTTGGGGAAATCCTCAACAAGATAGTCTCGTGGCCAGAATACATTGTGTTGCATTGATGAGCTCCCACGGGTTTCGCTTTCATCTTCTTCACCCTCTTCGCCATCGTCGTCTGTATTATGTGTCGAGTTCGGGCGTGAAGTTCGCTTTCGTTTTCCGAGCCTTTGCCATATTGTAGGCACAACGTGTTCGCTTCTTCTAGTCGAGTTATCTTCCCAAGTCGTTTGTGGATGACCCCTTAACCCGTGTACAAGAATAATGCTAAAATGGTATGGTTAGAACGATAGAGGCCTTGACAATCGTTGCCATTGCGTAGGAAACGTCCGTATCACGTACTTGACTTCGCATAATCCATTTGCGGGGCTAGAGAGCTGCGTGAGCCCGTTGCGACGTATACTATGCTCGGGCATGGGTATGAGATAGACACAACTAAAACAGAAATGGGACAGCCGTAAATTCCGGTAAAGTTGTTGCTTGTCCCAAGAGAAATCCAAGGTCGTTCAATTTTGGATGGCCCTAAGATTGAACAAGTATGGATTGCGCCAGAAGTAAGGCTGTGGGAGTAAAGATGTAAAGGATTATACCCATTAACTAGATTATGTTTTTGTCAATATTATTGCCTTAACGTAACATTCTCTTCATACAAATAATAGCAGCGAAAATAATAGACGACTGCCCTTTTTTAAATATATATTTATCAACTAATTACCTATGTATCATATTGCTTTCTTTATAGTACCATAATACTGTTTTATCAATATCATCATATAGCCACTACTTTTTAAATACCTAGAATACGTTCAAATTTTAGCAACGGCGTTGAAAGAAGGAGCCACTCCAATTATAGCATGTTTATTATTGATTACCTATATGTAATACTAAGGTATTAATCGTTAAACAAGTTTTGCTTCCCCTAGTACTCCGCCCCAATAAGCTTCTTAGGCAAGAAAGCCCACACAGTCCCAATGACAGAGAGGGTCGAAGATAGGAGCATGACAATCCAGGTAAATATGCGTTCTCGCGTCGAGATCTCATGTCCGAATAACTTCAAATAAAATGCTAGAGGAAGTCTGCGAATTTGTTAGCCTCCATATTCTCCAAGAGCCTAGTTTAAGTAGAAGAATATCAACACTCACGTAACACATATAGTGAAGCAGAGGGCGCTTCCCATGAACGCCATGATGGCGTCGAATGCCGGGAAGACTATAGCAATTGCCAAGAATACGAAGAGCGTCAAAACTCTGACGAGAGCTTTCAGCACCCCCCTCGAGCTGCTAGAGAGCCCGACAAGGGGTGTTTCCTCCGCGACGACTTGTTGCCGAAGACCGAATAAGACTTCTAGAATTGTGACGATCGGTTGAGAATTCAGAGGGATCTTAGTTAAAGGAATAATCGCGATGAAGATCACAATGAGGACGTTAAGAACGTTGGGGTATCCCTTGGTTTCAAGGATATTCCCGGTGATCTCGTCACGGACCCCATCGCCAAACATCAGCAGTCCTACAACAGCTACGGCAAAATCTATTATCAACTATAAGTTGTTAGTTTGGGTAGTTTTCGAGTTAATTGGTTAGGGTCCTCGAGACTTACAGTGAAGCTAAACGTGTATCCAACCGCCTATTCAAATATTAGACAAACCCACTACCGATAAATTCATTGTGTTTACTCACCTCCTTAAAGCGGTGGGGATGTCGCATGTCACGATAGATCTAGATTTGGGTTAGATGATTGGTCTCTTATCCTCGGTCAAGATGGACTTACATTTGGGAAAACACTGTGCCCACCCCATGGAGACATGAGTAATCCAAAGGACAGAGGTAAAGTAAGCCAATTATCAGGGAACAGATATGTCTTCGCAGGCTCTATAAGAGAACCAGGCGAGTGCGGTTTAATCAACCCGTCAAAGATGACGATGGTAGCAACTATACCATTTTGTGAGTATTTCAACACTGGCGGCGGGTTTGTGGAGGACTTACTGCCTAGACACGAGACCACACCAACAAAGCTAGTAACAGAGAGAAAGGACAGAGGAACGAATTGTAGAGGTATGAGGATCAGAGTACAGACAATCTTCCACTCAGTCACACTTAGTGTACCAGGAAACAAGAGTGCTAGCGAGTCGGCAAATAGTACTATAAGAGCCACACATGCAGCAAGTAATTCCAGGGTGAAGAGCACTGCTGTCATGATGCGCGCTTTTCTGCCAAAGCAGGTATACGCTATATCGGAAAAGGTGATTGTGCTAGGGTCGCGATCCATGCATCTTGATAATATTTTCGCCGTCCAGCTGGTTAGTGCGGCACATAGAAACAGCGCAACAAGCCCACAGACCCAACCAGCATACTTCAAACCCATAGGCAGACTCAGTAAGCCGACACCGATCATGACGCTATATTGAGATTTAGCTATGGGCCTCCAAAGAGAAAGAGGAGCTCACTCACTTAGTAGAGTTCACAACCGTTTGTGGTAGAGTCGATTGGCCGGCTACAGCTAGCACAAGCCTCCCTTCTTGCTCAACCTCTTTTACAAGGATAGGCGGCCGTTCGCCATCAGGCATATTCGCCCCTGATTCTTGCTGCTGACGCCATAGATCTGCGGCATGGATCATGGAAGAATGAGCAGCCGACTGGACGGTACCATAGCTTCGAACGGATCCGTAACTACCAACCAGAGGAGAGACAGAAAGGTGTGGTGGCACGGAGAATAACGAATTGCCATGAAGGGAGCCGGATGGTGATGCTACTCGGTATAGTTCGCTGCCCGAGCGTTTTCGCTCGCCTTCCGGTCCATCTGTTCGTGACGGAGGCGTTCCAGCTGGCCCGGGCTCCTCGTGGTCGATACTGTGGGGCAAAGGAGCTTCAACATCTTGTCTCGAGGGAGAAACTCTGGGACCCGCTTCAAGGTCGCGTCCGGCGTACGGATTAGGGTCAACTGACTGAACGGGCTCCTGATCTGGCGCAAATACAAAGGTCGGGTGTTGCGGTAAGATTTCCGGGAAGGCAGCGGCTCGTTGCCAACTTCTCCCAAAAGACCTAATACTATTGACGCCACCAATATCGGCTACCGCAGCAAGACGATGCGTTATAGATGACCTGTGGGAATAGATACAATTAGTCTAGGCGCAGGCGAATCGATGGCGGGCATGCCAACCTTCGTCCTGCTCGTCGCGGGTGTTCCTCATCGTGCCCGTGAGCATCCGGGTCACTTAACAATGCTTGGTCCTCAGAGCGAATACTCATATTACTGGTAGATAACAGGCTATCGCTTCGGCCGGGTGAAGCCCCGCGATCGTATTCATCCCAGTTCGTAGGCTGCCTCGCAGCCATGTCTATATGTTAAGCTCACGGGTTAAGAGAGGGCCAAGAGGAGAAGAGTATTCGAAATACTACGAGATGAAAATATGTAGAAGAGGGTCAGTAATTTAAATATTTGACGGAGAGATTATTAGCGGCACTTCTGCGACTAAAGCAATCTATGTTAGCTCTTCAGCCTCAGTATAGATTACCCAGCTTCAATGGAAGGAGATAGAGGAAAGATTTTGTCAGAGATACTGTTAACCTAGAAATACCGAAAAGATAGACGCAACCATGCGCATACATATTATACCCCAGACTATGCAGCTACCTTGCTTTGATAACGGTGGAGCCGGTGTGCAGAAACGATGGATTGTTATGGTGTTGAAGTTACTTATTATACTAGGTACGCTAGTACGATGACTAGTCTGATACTTGTCTGATACTTGGCTTGCTACCTATGTACATAACCCAGGAAATAAATACATGTACTTGCCGACGCGGAGAACGGTCCCATGATTTACCTTTTGCGCCTGCCTGTGTTAGACAAGAGCTCGAATTGCCATATCTAGGCCTCGGGGAAGTAGGGAAGTAGGGAAGTAGGGAAGTCACTACCAAATCCATTATCGATGTTTCCACCGCGCCACATTATTGGACAATGGATTCAATGTGGGGACTAGTACAATCCCTTTTTAATTCTTAGCATGAGAACAAGGCTGATAATGTCACACCAATTACATACGAATATCTACCTCTTTCGAGGAAAAAAATAATTTCCTACGTCCTGGTGATGCCAGCTAACTTTGCACAGCGAAACATCGGAATCTATCGCTTCTCGTCGGGCTAAATTACGGGAGCATCGCTGGAAACTAACAGGAGATGCTCGAAATTTCGCGCGGCACTGCACTGCACCGCACGCAACGTAACTCTACTGGCTCGGGGAAGATATTTTTCGAGAAGGAGATAAGATCGCGCGGTTACGTGACGTCATTTCGTACTGTATGGGGTATGAGGTTGGATCAGATATTGGCATGCTGCAAGTAAAGTCATGCGCCGCAAAGCTTTTAAGGGTTGTCCGAACCATTGCCGCCTATAGCGGGTTACAGTGTGATTGGCCTGTTAAATAATTGCATACATACTACCCACGAGAGGTCGGGTCGTCTAGTGTAAGTGCGATGTCCAAAAACGGTCTCAGGAGTTGTAATATAATATAATTGCTTTTCATCAAATTTTACGTTTCCGGTGTCACTAAATACTAGCGTTGATCTGAGGGCTTATTAACTAACGTAAGGGGGTATTTGCAACTCGACTAACATATACCTTTCAAGTGTCGATCGGTCGTCCTCGTTTCTATTGACGAGTATTAGCGTCTAACGGGCTGAACGTGCTCTATTGTGCTTTACGAGGCTCTTTGATATCCATGCATAGCACTTTGGTAAATAGACATCTTAAGCGTTTGAGAGACTTATATTGAAACAATTAACTATATAAATGGACCATACTACTCCAAGATGATTCAACCATGTATAGATGGCGGAACACTGGTTGGCTCGAATATGTCTGTGGTCGACTGCCCCTCTTAGACAATGCTGCGTTCTGTTGTGTTCCAACTTATAGTCTTATATATACATAAGCTGAAAAGGCTACGTTATCCGTTGAAAATTTGATCAGTACATAGTCATCCTGCTCCTCCGAGAGGCGAAAGATGTATGTACTATATACGAAGGTAAGACGAGGGGGGAACTTTTACCGAAAGGATAGGACTTGTGAGGCTCTACTATGTTAGGTACCTAATGCAAGGAAAAGAGTTACAAGCCTTGCAAAATACTTTGCATTTTTGAGAATACCAACCTCGCGTGGCTTGAATGAAGAATGCATGCACATTCTTTATTTAGGTGTTTACAATTAGGTTGTCTTATACAATTAAGTATACATTAGTAAATAACTATGCAAATCAAAAATCCATGCTGGAATATTCTACAGTTAGGATGTACATGTAACTACCTAGGAGAACTCCTAAAAAGCCGTGAATTAAGTGAATTAGGTAAGTCAAAAAGACCTCTAAGGTCGCCCACGTATGCAGGTACAGTGCCTGATTGCTTGATTGCGTAGCGAGTTGTCTGCCTGTCGATAAGTTATCAGTTAGTAAGCCCCAGGCAAGCAATCTGGCTTGTTCAACAAGTCAGGCTGTGGAAGTGATTGGAAGATGTGGCGGCCCTAGGTTATGCCCCACTTGGTCCGAGCTCCTTCCACCTCTCGTCATCACCAGCTCAAACAACAACTACGACCGTAAGAACATCCAAACTCCGAACTTGATCATCTTCTTCTATTTTCACCATCTCAGGTCATCTCGTAACCCTTTTCCAACTTAGAGATAGCTACCATCTCTAATAATTCTCGCTAAGGATCGAGTTTCCTCTGCGAATTTCTCTGCATAAAAAACCCCCCACTACCTTTCTTTCCGTTTGGTTCTTCCCACAACTTCCTCCAACCCACCCGAATCCCGACCTTTACCAAATACCTTCATTTGTTCATCAAACATCATGGCACCCGAGCCTGAGCACAAGAAAAAGGCCAACTTGGCGTAAGTGTTCCAACAATGAGAAAAATCACCGCAAACTGGTATCTAAACTAACTTTACTACTAGCGACGTCTCCGGCGCCGAGCCTAAAGAGGAGAATGACACCTCGACGGCTATCCTCAAGAAGAAGAAGAAGCCCAACCAGCTGATGTATGTATTCCCCAACTGAATAGTCTAGCTAGTACTATTAACTAATTTGTCTAGGGTTACTGATGCCGTCAACGATGACAACTCTATCATCGCACTTTCGAACAACACTATGGAACAACTCCAACTGTTCCGTGGAGATACAGTCCTCGTTCGAGGCAAGAAGAGAAAAGACACCGTCTTGATCGTCCTTGCCGATGATGACCTTGATGATGGCAATGCCAGACTCAACCGAGTTGTCCGTCACAACTTGCGGGTGAAGCACAGCGATATTGTCACTATCCACGCGTGTCCTGACATCAAATATGTGCGTAGCTTGTGCCCGATGAAATCCTGATCAGATAACCAATTACTGACGATCAATAGGCCAAGAGAATTGCGGTGCTTCCTATCGCCGACACAGTTGAAGGTCTGACTGGTTCGCTCTTCGACGTCTTCCTTGCCCCATACTTCCGAGAAGCCTACCGACCCGTTCGTCAAGGCGACCTGTTCATCGTCCGAGGTGGTATGAGACAGGTGGAGTTCAAGGTAGTTGAGGTTGATCCTCCTGAGTATGGAATTGTTGCGCAAGATACTGTGATTCATTGCGAGGGTGAACCTATTCAGCGAGAAGAGGAAGAAAACAATCTCAACGAAGTTGGCTACGATGACATTGGTGGCTGCCGCAAGCAGATGGCTCAGATCCGAGAGATGGTTGAGCTGCCGCTGCGTCATCCTCAGCTCTTCAAGTCTATCGGTATTAAGCCACCTCGTGGTGTCCTGCTTTACGGTCCCCCAGGTACTGGTAAAACCCTCATGGCTCGTGCCGTCGCCAACGAGACCGGTGCCTTTTTCTTCCTGATCAATGGTCCCGAGATCATGTCCAAGATGGCCGGTGAATCGGAGTCGAATCTTCGAAAAGCATTTGAGGAAGCGGAGAAGAATTCCCCAGCTATCATTTTCATCGACGAGATCGACTCTATCGCTCCTAAGCGAGATAAGACAAACGGTGAGGTTGAGCGACGTGTGGTTTCTCAGCTCCTTACCCTCATGGACGGCATGAAGGCTCGATCCAACGTTGTCGTCATGGCAGCCACCAACCGACCTAACTCTATTGACCCTGCCTTGAGACGTTTCGGCCGTTTCGATCGCGAAGTCGACATCGGCATTCCCGACCCCACTGGTCGTCTTGAGATTCTCCAGATTCACACCAAGAACATGAAGCTCGGCGACGACGTCGATCTCGAGCAGATTGCAGCGGAAACTCACGGTTACGTTGGTTCGGATGTTGCTGCCCTTTGCTCCGAGGCCGCTATGCAGCAAATCCGAGAGAAGATGGATCTCATCGATCTTGACGAGGATACTATCGATGCCGAAGTATTGGATTCTCTAGGCGTCACTATGGAGAACTTCAGATTCGCCTTGGGTGTGTCGAACCCGTCTGCCCTCCGCGAAGTCGCAGTTGTCGAGGTTCCCAATGTCCGCTGGGAAGACATTGGAGGTCTGGAGGAGGTCAAGCAGGATCTCAAGGAAAGCGTCCAGTACCCTGTCGACCACCCCGAAAAATTCCTCAAGTTTGGTCTTTCTCCGTCCCGTGGTGTCCTATTTTACGGCCCGCCCGGTACGGGTAAAACCATGTTGGCTAAGGCCGTTGCCAATGAATGTGCGGCCAATTTCATCTCAGTGAAGGGTCCCGAGTTACTGAGCATGTGGTTTGGTGAATCCGAAAGCAACATCCGAGATATTTTCGACAAGGCTCGTGCGGCTGCTCCTTGTGTCGTCTTCCTGGATGAGTTGGATTCGATTGCCAAGGCTCGTGGTGGATCTGTTGGTGACGCTGGCGGTGCTTCGGACCGTGTTGTCAACCAACTTCTAACAGGTAAGCTTCCCTAAAAGGTTTCTTTAAAAGTTGTACTGCTAACATCAACAAATAGAAATGGATGGTATGACCTCGAAGAAGAACGTCTTCGTCATCGGAGCTACGAACAGACCTGAGCAATTAGATCCGGCCTTGTGCCGTCCAGGTCGTCTCGACTCGCTAATCTATGTACCGTTGCCCGACGAGGCTGGTCGTCTCAGCATCCTCACGGCCCAGCTTCGCAAGACCCCGGTGGCTGCCGATGTCGACCTCAACTATATCGCATCCAAGACCCACGGGTTCTCTGGTGCTGATCTCGGATTTATTACCCAGCGAGCAGTCAAGATTGCCATCAAGGAATCCATCACTATCGACATTGAGCGACAACGTGCTCGCGAGGCTGAAGGAGCCGGTGACATGGACGTCGATGAAGATGTTGAGGACCCTGTTCCTGAGTTGACGAAACGCCACTTCGAGGAGGCTATGCAAATGGCCCGAAGATCTGTCAACGACGTCGAGATCCGCCGATACGAGGCTTTTGCGCAACAGATGAAGAATGCCGGACCCGGTGCCTTCTTCCAGTTCCCTGCTGCCAATGCTGGTGCCACGGGCTCTGGAGATAACTTCGGCCAGGCTGGTGACGATGATGGTCTTTACGACTAAGTCGTCGGCTATCCAGTGGTTGGATACCATCTCCTCATACCGACCCTGTACTCTAATTCCTTTGCTTGCGATGCGTCTCAACATTAATGACAACACAACGCAACACTAAGGATGTCGACTTCAAACCGATATCACTTTGATTGTTCGTTGAAGGAATTCGCATATCTGATAGATTTAATCCCGTCAGAGTGCTAGTAACGGGATGCGGCTGCTTTTCTTTGCGCGATCAGAAGCATGGCTTTTTTGTCTCTTGCTTTGCTAGAGATGCTTCATTCCGGCTGGGATGAAACATAGTAGCCATACGCATACCGCGCTGCGGTAAGCAGATTAGTTTTACGATAGATCCACAAATTGATTTTGCACTGCCCTCAATTGGCCCTTGGTTGTGCCTATACTCTTAAATAATAGTGTAAATATGTGTTTAACTATATGACATGATGAGACCTCAAGGTCCATAGCAGCAACCATGACTCAGGAGTTTCTATTCGATGGTTATAAGCCAGTTCTTTAACTTGGCTCGTACGCGAATAATAGCTACATTAATGGCACAGCATTCACAACACGTAATTCTCGCTAAAGCGCTGGGCAAGTACAGGAAGAGGTCTGGTTAAAAATGGTTGAGTAGTAACTATCATTGCTGCGGATCAGAGCATCAAATGTGCCCCAGATATGCCTTGCTCCCCTCCTTCGTACACTTGATTATAAACCAAACCCGAGTTGCTAACGCCAATGCTCCCTTTCCGGCCCCCCCATGCCCTGTTCTGATAAATTTGCAAAGTAATAGACGTGTAGCAAGAAGAAAATCACCCCTCCCCTATCCCCCCTACTCCTACTCTTACTCCGACCCCTGGGATCTTTCTATTCGGACACGCATATGGACACGGCCTCGGGGCGAGGAGTGTGTGTGTGTGTATGTATATGTGTGCGTATGTGTATATTACAGCTCCTTCGTACTAAGCGGGTAGTACAACGATACGGTACGATGCGATACGATACCTCCACCCCCATTGACTACCGAGGTTATCAGGCATCGATCAAGGTATCGGGGGCGTCGTTATTCATTCGCCTGTTTATTTATTTATTTATTTTTGGCTCGTTCTTTTCGTTCGTCCCATGGCGGCTTCCATCGCCGTCGCCGCCGCTACTACCTTCCTAGACTCGGCGCACGTCCTCGATCGCAGCCGCGTCTCCTAGCCGGCTGTCGACCCGTCGTCGACTTCGCACACGGTATCGAGGCACTCGCGGGCGACTTTGAGGACGGCGTCGACGACGGCTTGGGGTATGGCTAGGGTGCCGTCGGTGGTGTTGGTGTTGGTGGTGCTTGCGCCGTTGGTCTTGCTGCTCCCGTTGGTGGTGGTGGTGGTGGTGGTGGTGCTGCTGTTGTTGCTGGAGTTGGAGTTGGTAGTGGTGGTAGGGGTGCCGTCGCTAGCCGCGGCGGTGTCGTGCCGCACGTCCTCGAGAACCCGCCGGACGAGCGCGGGGAACGTCGTCACGTCGCCGCTGCGCAGGAGGGCCAGCGCGTGCGACTGTACGGCCGACGGCCAGTTGGAGGGGTGCGCGTTGAGGGAGTGCAGGAAGTGCTCTTGGATTCTGCGGGTGGGCGAGGTGCCGTCTGTTAGCGAGCTAGTTTCCTCGTTTATTTGCGGCGGGGGAGGGGAAGGGAAGGGAAGGGAGAAAGAGAGAGTGAGAGTGAAGATCGGGGGCGGGTGAGCGGGCGAGCAGGCGGGCGTGCGTACTTGTTTATGTGGCCTTCCCGTATGAGGAGCGCGTTGATTTGCGATCGCAGGTCTTGGTCCTGCGTAGCAGGCGTGTATGCAGCCGCCGACGCGGGAACCTTTACGGGCGTCTGCGACATGGTTGCGTATGTGCGTATGTGTGTGTGTGTATATATGTCTGCCTATCTGTGTGTCCGAGTGGGCGGGGCGGAAAAGGGCCTTTTGTAGATAGTTTCCCCTTTGAGGTAACCAGCAGGCAGGAGTTCCGAAAGAGGAAAGACGACAGGTAAATAAATAAGGCGTCGGGGTCGCTCGGACATGCGATACCTAATACGACGGTTCCCGAAGCTTTGTGGCGGTTTCTTTTTTTTTTTTTTTTTTTTTTGGAGGGATGGACAGACGGACGGGTCGAGGCGCTGCGGCGTATGTGAGTGAGTAGTTCTGTATAACGTATAGTTAGAGCTCCTACGTCGTGCCGTCTTTAGCAGCGCTGGTGCGGGCCGACGAGGTATGGTATACGGTATGCAGGAATTCGTCGCGAGGGACTGATACCTGGTTGGAATTGGAAGATCGAATGGCGAGGCTGACAATTATCCGGAAAGTTTGTTTGCCTGGGCGAGGCTGAATGAAATATGTACATACATAGCTTCGTAAATAAGTGGATAGCTCTAAAGGTATGTGGGGCGCTAGACTTGGTTTGCCAGGGACCTCCCCGTTGTAAGCCGGGGTAAGACTCGCCGTTGGTTGGTCAGTCTATTCGAAGAGATGTGGCTGGTGCGTTACTATCTAGGGCTAGAAGCCGCCTTACATAGTAGAGCCTCCTCGATTATATTCGAATCCGGTATTGATCGGAACCTTAGTCTTAACTTTAAAACTCGTGCTTATATTGGTAGATCTATTGTTACTGTTTGCGGTTTTAAGGCTTTGTTGAAGTTTAAACATAAATGTTATAGGTTAACTACTTAGTTGGCTAGAAATAATCAACCACCTACCTACCTATATACAGTTGCTTAAACAAGTAGTTGGTCTTTATTTACAAGTAACTACTAGGTTAACTACTACCTAGGTTAGTTACTTATACTAAGCTGACGCTATACTACCTATAATATTTAACTTGGGCTTATGTACTCATATTCAGTACATATTTCACCCCTATTATGACACATATTTATGTTGCTATCCTTTAATATTTAGTTGTAGGCAACGCAGCGACGGCGGTAGAAGAAATTTTTATTTGGTTTTGATACCTACCATTGTGAAGCCTAATTGATACATTGCTAGTCTGCGTTAGTCTGTGTTGAAATGAGAGATATGAGATTGTTCTATGCGAGTTTAATTTAACCAGAGTGAGCCTACCCTCTTCTTGATCAGGCCGAGACGATATTTCGATCGATCAAACCGATTTGTCTATTTCTATCTACGCGCGATTTCCGAATCAAGAATATGTACGTATTTGGAAATGATGAAATAGGCAAGGTGAGCGCAGGCCGCGCTTGTGCCAAGGTCCTTTCTTGTCCTTGACACTTTCAGTGACTTCGATTGACTTCGATCCCAAGTACCATCAATGTATTCGAATAATACCAAGAAAATATCTCAGCTGCATGCGAGGCCGACTCAACGTTCAGTGCCGTAGTGCCCAACGGTGTTGCGACGTTATAAAACGCATTCGGGTGCAGATTCGCCGGTATGTTGGCATGCCGGTCGGTATATAAGCGATATAAGTGATATATTGTGATGAACAAATCCCACAGTAACAGCTCATATCCACCATCTACTTGAATCTCAAATCCCGAGGCTTCAGGTTGGGTCGCCGTTCAGGCTGGAGTCAGCAAACTCGAAATGAACATGTCGCAATTACTCATGAGTTACTCATGGCCAATTCGATTTTGTTGGCATCGAGTCAACGAATGCTTTCGGGACGTGGCCTCGATTTTGAGCTGGTAGATAATCTTCTACACCGACTATTACCTGTGTTGTCTATTATACGATGCAGTGCAAATATCCTTGCATCTACTCGGTGTATGGGCAGCGAATCAGAACAAGCCGGATCAGCCGCGAGTTCGATGTTATTCGCTAATCTTGCTTGAGATAGGTTTCTCGCCGTGGCCACGCTAAGGGGGGCGTGGGGAAGCTCAAATGACCGATTCCCTGCCGCGTTGGGCTCAATCCCCGTAAAAAATGATAAGTGATCTAGGTAGCGTACCTGTCCATCCTAGTCAACATGCCGGTTTTGTGATGCGCGCCATCAACGACGCGCCGGTAGATGGCAGGATGGTCGACATCAATACTGGAACAGTCGGTCTAGGCACTCCTAGCGACTGCGGTTACAGTTGTATATGGCCTTCTGGGATATCTCGAAGACGATTGGTCGTCCAGATAGGCTCCTCGCAGCCCCATCGATTTCTGTGATCTGCGCTAATCCATTAGTGTATCCATCCTACCGTTGTTACGACAAACGTTTCCAAGTATAATGGCCTTCCTATCTAAGACACGCATAGACCTGAGGAACTCGACGTACCTTACTATGTATTATTACCGTCTCATCGGACTGGGGCCGCTTACTCTCGACGATGAGAGGTTCATAGTCCGTTTCGCTTCGTCTTTCGCCATACATGACTCTCTTATTTTTTGGAACTCTCCCCGACGCACTAGAAGAGAGCCAGGTGTTCGAATGTCACTAAATGACGTCTGTTTTAGAAGGCTACCCGCGGATTAGAGCACCGGCTAACGGCGCCTAGCAGCGACCTCAACTCTGGTCCACCTTTATTCTGGGGTCTTGTCGTAGGTCTGTCTAGCATGGTGAACAATCGCCAACTGACCCCGAAGTATCTTCCAAGTACCAACTCGGTACGTACCAGTGATCACTGTCATCCATCGGGATTATAATCTTGTATAGTCGATACACATACGCCTGTGGCCTTCGACATTCTCGTATTTTGCTCTTGTGATTCTCGCTAAACGCAAACGCGGCTCGGGTAACTGCGTAGACTTGAGTTGGGTTATGGCCTGCTGAAGTAGTTCAGATGTGAAAGACTACCTCGAACCGTCCTCTCGCCCCGACAGGCTGCTGTTTGATAGGCAAACGCGGAACGCATGGTCAGATGGTGCCGAATAGTCATATCATAAGATGCCGGGCTTAGGTACGAGACAGTTATCCCAAGTAACACAACTTGCACAACCAGTAGGACAGGGGCGGATCCGATCTGTCACGCGCAGCCGTCTTCGAATCTGACAGCGAAGGTACGATTGGGTGCTGCAGGCGTACGGCCAATTATATGCGGAGGTGGCATCTCCAGATTCTAGTGGTAAGCATTGTCGGATAGGGGGTATCGTGGCAGCTCCTTAAAAAGGTAGTATTTGGTCCTAAGCACTGGGACGCTGACAAGCCCGATCTAGCAGCAGTGGTGCCCCCCACGATTATATTATCCGATCTTAGCCTGGCAGATGCCCCCGCGTCAGGTTGTCGTCTTCTGAGCTCCTGAGTGGACTGGGCCAGATGCAAAACGCATGGCCCAGGGTCCTACCCAAGATCTGGGGGGTTGCAATATGCAAGTGTCGGTATGGATGTGGCGCCGGCTGGTCCCGGAGGTTGCAGGGAATTTGAGCTAGGGGCTGTAGGGGGTCAGCCACACAAAGGTACGAGAAAGGCAACATGACTAGCTAGGGCCGCATAGGGGGCTACCAGGTTGCCGGGAAATCGAGAGATAGACTTAGTAGGGCGGCCCGCATCTGCAACAGGCTCAATAAGGAAGTAAGAGACGTCACGGCCGTTAGGGGTGGCAAAGAGCTAGCTCGGCTGCGTCTAGCTGCAGTACCTATACTTGGATAGAGAGAAGTACGAAGCCGGAGTGTCCATTGTTGGTTAGTATTAGGGGTAAAGCAGCTAGTTTGATGTTATTGGATACTTACTAGGTTAGGTATATGCAGTTAGAATGTTAAATGGTAACTCATAGTCGACTTATTGTTTCTATATATATAATATACACGTGATAGAATGACACCAGGAGGATAGGCAATAATAACAGGTAGGTTAGCCTTTGTAAATTGTATATAAGGAGATAGCATAAACAATTAGAATGCTGTTGACACTTTGTAAGATTTGTGTAAGTGTAAGTGTAGGTGTAAGTGTAGGTGTAAGTGTAAGTGCAAGTATAAGTCATCTGCTAGTTGAAGTTTAATAAAGTTTAAAAATGCATGTATAGGTACTTGTGATACTCAACGCCGAGGGCTGCATATTCCGTAGCTCTTACCAACGTAGGTACTAGGGTGGCCCTTCCTTCCTGCTCTATACTTTTTTTGATGCTGCCGTCAGTGTAGGTACCTATCCTCCAATGAACAGCCTAGCCGACTTTCTCACCGGTTGCTATACCGGTTCGCCACACGGGCAGCCGACATGCTTAGGTAACTAAGTGCCTTCCTACATTATATCGGTTGATAAATAAGGAAGCAAGTAGGCGGGAGCTACTGCGCGTAAGAGGCGGCAGCTGCCTGCTAGCCACATGTATATTCCGCATATTCCGCATAGGTATTCAAACGTGACGAATCGTGCCAAGCTTTGGTGCATCCACTACCTATCAGCATCAGTGTCAACTTCACATAGATTATTGGTATAGGACTACCACAGCATTGCCGCGTATCAAATATGTCGACGACGTGCCTCAAGTAAAAATATATGTAGGCAGTCTGCATACATACATGCATACATACATACCTCATACATATATGTAGGTATGTATGTAGAGAATAAATAATGCGAGGCAATAAGCAAGGAACAGCACGCACCCCTGAATGCCACTTGAAGAAGGAGGTTGACTAATTTAGGGACCTAAGCAAGCTACATGTCAGTTTCGGAGTTGTTACCAGTTTTAAAAAGGAGTTGCACTATTAATCAACCTGGTGTCTAAGCTGACTATCAGGCTGACTTCCTGATCTTCCTGATCTTCTTGATCTTCCCCGATCTGTACGCTGCTCACTTCCCCGTGCTGCAAGTATCTATACCCGACATCCCTTAAAAAGCACGGGTTGGAGGGTTGGAGGATCAGCCGTGGTGGCGTCGAATATCTGCTACGATAGATTAGGCACCACGGACAGGTAGGTGGGTGTGAACCCCTTAAATTCAAAACCTGTCTAGAAGGCGGGCGGCACATTATTCTTTACTCGACGCCCAGTATCCAATCTCTAATGCAGTCCCAACGTCGTCCAATGTTTTCTCTTTTAGTTTTATACTCCCGGCTCCACTAAGTATGTGGGACGGCATCTTTCCATTCAATCATCAGATTCATCACTTACAACGGTAACATGCCGAGGAGAAACATGATGCAACCAGGCCCATTCATGCTCACTCGTACGCATAGGAGCCGTTCCGTGTCCATGGCACGCATCATGCTGACCGCTGCCACGTCTCTTTCTTACTCGCGAGCCTAACTACCGCACACGAGATCTGGCATCCATTCAATAGACCTCGTGACCATGCTCTCCG